TAGTGCACAACCAATTGCTCCCCCTTCTTATCCGCAATGGCGTGCACCATTTCCTCAAAATCAACCATCACCCCCGCAAATTAACCAAAATACCGTTAGAATTCCTTTTCGTCCTAGAAAAAGAATACAAGAGGGGAAATGGAGCTAAAGTACGAGTTCACCCCTATTGGAGAATCATATGCTAGCTTGTTTCAAAAATTAAGGACGTTGAATGTTTTGAAGTCCTAATTCGAAAGAAAGATGTCGAATCCTCCCCCGAGTAAATCTAGATTATTCTTAACACTGTGCCTATTGTTCTAATGCCCCAGGGCACAACATAGAGAGGTGTTGGTACTTTGAAAAAGGCAATTCAAGATTTGATCGATACTCATCGAATTATCGTTGAAAACCCAAATGGACCAAACATCAATCAAAATCTACTACCCAAGCATACTGAAACAAACATGTTAGAAATGATGAATGGTTGCGAGGAAGTTGCAGTCCCATACAAGCCAATTCTTAAGGTTGGAACTGACAAGGAAAATTCGGCGAATGTTGTTGACTTGACAAAAACGGTGCCTTCAGGGGCAGAAAGGACGTCGAAAAAGTTAAGTCCATCAAACACACCTATCCTAACTGTGAAAGGAGCACTTGAAGATGTTTGGACAAGTCAGAGAGAAGCAAGATTGGTTGTTCCAAGAGGGCCAAACAAGCCTATCTTGATCGTGCAAGGAGCCTATATTCCACCTGTGATCATTAGGCCAGTGTCCCAACTTCCAATGACTAATCCAAAGGCTGTCCCTTGGAATTATGAGCCTATTGTCGTGACATACAAGGGGAAAGAAGTCAATGAAGAAGTAGATGAAATAGGAGGAATGACTCGTTCGGGAAGATGCTATGCCTTGGCTGAATTAAGGGAAACTAAAAATGACCAAATGCAAGTTAAGAATCCAGTCACTGAAGGGGAGGCAGAAGAGTTCTTAAGAAAGATGAAATTGTCAGACTACTCCATTGTGGAACAGTTAAGGAAAACTCCAGCCCAAATCTCTTTGTTGTCTTTGTAATACATTCAGATGAACATCGTAAAGCTGTAATGATGATTCTGAATGAAGCACATGTTCCTAATGAAGTTACAGTGAGTCAGTTAGAGAAGATTGTTGGGAGAATCTTTGAGGTAAACCACATCACTTTTTCAGATGATGAACTACCAGTGGAAGTACGGGACATAACCAAGGCCTCCATATCACTGTAAAGTGTGAGCTTTCATATGTCACTCGAGTTCTAATTGACGGAGGATCTGGGGCAAATATTTGTCCCTTGTCAACTCTACAAAAATTGAATGTAAATGATGAAAGGGTACAACCCAACAACGTATGTGTTAGGGCTTTTGATGGGTCCAAAACAGATGCCATTAGGGAAATAAAGCTCATACTAAAAATAGGGCCTGTCGATTTCACTGTGAATTTTCAAGTGCTGAGTATCAATGCATCCTACAATCTATTGTTGGGGAGACTATGGGTGCATAGGGCTGGGGCAGTCCCCTCTATGTTGCATCAAATGGTTAAGTTCCAATACGACCGGCAAGAAGTAATTGTTCATGGTGAGGGGGACTTGTCAGTCTACAAAGACTCTTCCCTCCCTTTTGTCAAGGCGAATAATGAGAATGAAGCATTGGTTTATCAAGCTTTCGAGGTTGTGGTTGTTGAGCATATCCTTGAGGAGAATCTTCGAAACCACAATTGCCCATGGCATCCGTGATGATGGTGAATGAAATGCTGAAACATGGGTTTAAACCAGGTAAAGGCTTGGGAATATTCCTGCAAGGGAGAGCTTATCCGGTGAATCCACGAAAGAGCCTTGGTACTTTTGGCTTAGGATACAACCCCACAGTCGAGGACAAAATGAAGGCCAAGAAACAGAAGAGAGAGATATGGTCACTTATCAAGCCAATACCACCTATATACAAATCTTTCATCAAAGCCCGCACAACAGAATCTCCCGAGTCACCACTCCCAGAGCCTGTGCTAAAGGTTAACGAAGAACTGATCAACTATTTTCATAATTTATTTGTCGAGGCAGATATGGTTGAGCTTGGAGAAGGCACTAGTGACAGAGATGTGAAATTCATTGGTCCTGATGTCCAGCTAAACAATTGGGAGGCCACTCCTCTCCCCATTAAGAATGAGTCTTGGTAGTCTGTCTTGTTTTTCCTTTTGTCATCCGATTTATTCAAGGGTTGTAATTCGGATTTTGTTTCATCGTTTTATTTCAAACTCTCTGTTTTCCTTTTCGATAGGATGTAATTGTGTTTTTATTTCAGTCTAATATATTTATTTTGTTTTCTTCTATACAGTTCTTTCTATGCCGATTCTAGTGATATGACATGCATGCAAAAAAATTCATTAGATCTTAAAATCCAATCTAATATTCAACCTAATCCTAAAATAATAATCCGAGAAGTTGAATATGATGAGGATGAAGTATTTGAAGAAGTAAGAAAGGATTTCAAACATTTTGAGAATAAATCAAATCCCAACATGAGTGAAAATGAGACGATAAATTTAGGGAATCCTGAAAATATTAAGGAGACTAAGATAAGCGTACATGCTCGACATCAAAAGGAGGATATAATCCA